TGATCCTTTAGGCGGATCTAATAGTCTTGCTGATTTACTAGTACTGATTCGGGATAGATATGGAAGTATAAGAAAGGGGCAATGTAAATTTGGATCGTAATAATACAAGGAATTCAGAAGCAATCTATGTGTGTTTCACCGTTGAGCTCCATACACAAATAGAGAATTAAGATAAACCTCCTGGTAGTGTATATTTTGAATTAGAGATGGGTATATTAGTAGAAATAAGCAATAGCCGTTGACATAATAAGAAATGGCTGTGTGATTTCAGAAAAAAGAGTAAAATCGTTCATTTATGTCGTTTTGGATCAAAACTAAAATAAGGACAGACTGGTCATCCATCCAAATTTCCAAAAGAAATGGTGCCAAAAACTTGTTAATCAGCAGAAAATGCGCCTTTTAAGTCTCCTTTTGTTAACGATTTATTATCTTAAATTCTTTTCCCATTCTCGTCCGTTCCCTTTTTTACCGCATCACTCTTTCCCTTCTCCTCTCCCCATCATAAAAAGTTTACCTGAAATGACAACTGTTCCGAAGAAAGTCGTATTTTTGACGAGAACAGCGATGTCTTCAGATGTGTGACCGGGAGTTTTTAACAAATAAACGTTTTCTGTTAGCTTTTGCACATCGTCCTGGAAGTTCGGTTAAAAAAAAGTTACTTCTTTACACGGATTGGAGCAATAAAAGAGTGCAGCTTGTAGAGCTGCAATGCGAAAGAAAAGGAAAAATTCTCATTTCTGAAGAGTACTCGTTCTCTGCGGAAGTTTTCCCTCTTCCGTTCCTCTTCGTCTAGAAATTAACTCAGCAAACCTCAAAGATATTCGTCAAATCGAAATGCATCCTGTGGTGCATGAATGTTCCGGCGTAGTGTCGTGCATCCGGAAAATCATTAGTGTTTCCCGAATGGTCCGGATGACCGTGTGTTGTTATCACAAAATCAATAGACGGCGGCGGAAAGCCAAGATCATTAAGTCCTGTAACAGAATTTTGTTGATAAACAAAATCCCCTAATGATTAATAATATTTCCTATCGTCATTATCACAACTGCTCTGTTATTAAAATTTCAAGGCCCTGCTTTGTTTCGTAACGTCAGATACTGCACAAGTTGACGTCAAATGCAGCTAAGACAGGCCCGCCGTACTGACGAAGGGTACTTGCGCGAAAGTTATCACTATTTCCAGCGCTTACTCATGCCGTTTTTTCTCTTCAAACACAAATCAATCACGGCAGACGCCTCAGGCACAAGGTGTTCCCTAAATATTTTTACTTTCCGTAGATGCATAAATCCCTTCTGCTCAGTGTTTTCTATTGATAATTTTTGTATCGCATATCCCTAGAAATGCCGTTTACTACTTCTCCGAAGCACTTTTTCAGTGGATTGAACCCACCAAAGTATGTCTGCATAAGGCAGGACAGCGATTTCGTTTTTAAAGATCATTTTTTTGCTTTTTAGTAATTAATGAAAGACGCGCCAGTGACGTCAAAATTTGGGCTCGAATCCGATTAAAAGAAAAAATTCAGGGTTTCGTAAAAGAAATGTAGAAATAAGATAGAACAAAATTAACTCTGAAGCATCCAGGTACGCCCGTTGATATCGGTGGCTAGTCCGGTATCCACAAGTATTCTGTACTGTCCATCAATGACCAGTGTGATTGAGGAAACAAATTCATAATCATTTTCACTATTTTGTACTGCTGAACCCTAAACCATATTGGATGAGAGATTGTTTGATGTTTGGGCCGTTCAGTTAATGTTTGACTCCCCCGTGGCAAATCTTCTGGCATCTGGATTTCTGTCACCACGTATTATGCGTTTTTTGCAGTTATGCACTGCAGAAAATGCAAACTGACGAGGGTTGTCTGTGTGTCTGTGTATCTGTGTGTCTGTGTGTACGTGTGTGCGTTCGTCACGGCTTTTTATCTCAAGACCTATAAAAGCTACAGGGCTGAAACTTTGGGAACTTAATCTACATGCACGTACGGGC